CGTAAAGCAAGTCACAACGCGACAGAAACGAAAACCAGGAAAGTAATGCCGTATGGCAAGTAAATCAGAATGTGAAAGGGACAGCTAATATACCTCTTCAGCTAACTAAAAAAAAACAGATTTTTCTCTAATATTAAGTATCCAATCAATATTTTTTTATTTACATTACCGGGCTGTGATGTAGGCTGCAATGGCAAAAAAAGGTCAAAATATTTTGACTTGACAAGGACTTTGCAGCTTTACATTCGCATACGGTAACAAAACAACAGCGACCAGGAATGACAACCGAAACATTTATATGATCAACACCTATTGATCGGAAATAGCAACAAAAGGCAGGTTTTCATCCTTAAGCTAAAATAAAGATAACGTCTAATAACTAAATTTGTACAAAAAAAAACAACTAACGTACATTTTGACAGCTTCAAAAGGATGATTTTCTTCTTATTAGTGCAAACAAAGTAATAAATATTCATTAAAATTTAGCCTTTCAATATTTGGCAAATTGTGTTTTTCAAATTTATTTAAGACGAAAGGACAATTGTAGGCTTAACATTTGAGGCAGATAGTTCGTACGATTTTATGGCATTTTCCATCGCTCTCTTTCTTTAATGTCATGAGGTTTGGAAATTGGAGTCAAATTCGAAATACAGGTAAAATATGGTACATTACTTCAAAGGGAGGATTTATATCGCGTGAGGAGACTATACACATATGAGTCATGATTATATGTTAAATTCAACTCTTTAAATGGTGGAGGAGTATGTGCGTCAAAAGAAACTTTTTGTATCATGCGAACAGCCTTTTTTTAATATGTAATTTGTTGAGGTTTCACAAGGTTGTAGTATTGCACATTAGACTGACACAATATAACACGCCCTTTTGAAAGTTTTTTAGCCCTATTAATAATGTGATTATTCCGAGACATCTGGTCATTAAAGTAAACTCCAAGCGTTTTCACATTTTACAGCAGTTTGTTAATTAAACTGCTTTCTTCCTCAAAACTATCAGTTATCAGACGAATTGGCCAAGTAATCTACCATGTTTAAAATACATCTAGTGATAAAGTATCACTATTTTCGATCTCATGTAATACAAATAAAATAAATTTGATCTAAATCAAGCAAACATTATTTAAAAAAATACTGATTTAAATAAAAAAAATTGAAGTCAAATAAATGAAGTGCATACCATTTTAAAAGATTAATCTTTTTTTTTTACCCTGCGTGCCACGCATCAGATCACCAACGAACAAATAAAAACGCTCACATTATGCACGCACGACACGTTTTGTGACCCCCAGGCTTAATCAACAATAATAAAGACAAGTTTTTTTAGCTGCAAAGTAGATTGTCATAGTATCCTATACACCCCGGCCATCATTACGTCGAGAGAATGAAATTAATTAAAGCGCACAACATGCTCAACATGAACACGCTTAGCTCATAAAACAATGGCTTTGCATGCGTTATACCGACTCGAGACGAAGCCAACGCAAGCACCACATTTCAGTGGTGCTGAGAGCCAAAAAGGAGCCTCCACAACTTTTAGGCAGACTTGCACGCGAACATTGAAAACCTTACTTCTTGTGTTTTTTTTTTCTTTTTCTACCTTTTATTCGACCGGGCAAGGGCTCACATGAGCTCTGCCTCGCGAAGGCCGATCATCTGGCCTTTCTCCTTTTTCACCCAACAACTCACACACAGAACAACAACAAAGAAGCTAGATACACGCTTCAAACAACAATTACACCAGACATATAAAGGTGCGAGGAAATGACCAAGAAGAGGATATCGTCCGATGCCTAGTCTAAACTACAGTCTAAACCAAGCAATGACAGACTTGTGTCGATACCATTTGAAAATAAAATAGTCAACGTCTGCCCGTTCCAACACCGATGTCGCTCGATAATGTACATTCCAGTAAAGACAAAATTAAATATAAAAAAAATGATATGAGATTGCACCGAGTAGTTTAGGCAATTTCCCGACACGATTGTGGGACCCAGATGGAAGTTTCTCAAAATGGATTGTGTTTCGTTATATAAAAAAATAGAAAAAAAGAAACAGCTTTTCCGGATTACATTGTCACACAGCACCTGCGTAACTGCAATGTCGCTGAAAACGACGTTTCCACGGACAAATAAACGCCAGTGAAAGTGCGGTTTGTACACATACAGCGTGTGTCACAGTTAGCACGAGGCACGAGTGAGCGATTACCGGTTGTTCTTGTTTTGCTCTTAGAACTTAACGCCCCTGAGTAAAAATCTTAGTCGGGTGAAGAGCGCTCACTTGGGGCAGCCTTACGTAAGCGGTAAATTTTGAGGCTCGGTCATACTTTGATCGAATAAAGTGAAGTGCCGATGTCGTATTCGCACTGTGTTGCGTAAAGTGAGCGCGAACACGACATTGCCGCTTGACGTTGCTCGCCTTGAAAACTCCACAATAGAAAAACGACGATATCGAATAACTTTTTCCCGACACCAAGTTACGTATCCATTGGGATCCGAGTTTTATTTATAGGGCGAAATAACGCTTATCCCTCATTAAAAAAAAAAAGAAAAAAAAAAAGAACTTAAGTTGAGTACGGGGTTACGTAGGCAATAACGACCTTTACTTTGAGAAAGTTGTAGCGAGCCGGAAAACAGTACGACGAAACACGAAGTGGAGGTAATATTCGAGCGGGGCGGTTCTACGTGAGGTATAGTTCCTACTCAAACTGTCGTCGGACGCCATTTTGACAAACTTTCGCCCTACGCCTTTTTACGAGGAGGCAGCGTTTTCCAGCTCGCTCAACCAGAGTAGTAGTCTGCGAAAACAAGCGTCGGTTAGGTATTTGATTTTTTATACATACCAGTCTCTATACAGACTCAAGACGAGCCGGCGATCGAGAAGTTCACCCGTCGGCGGTCAAAATGACTGACAATAGACCCTCTTTTGAAAGTCACGTGCCGATCGTTTTAGACGGTCGAAACCACTACACAATGGCGGAACGATTGATACCGTCCAACCCGCAAGTCGTTCCATAAGACAGCGAATGCCAGATCGCGGCCAACCATAGAAGCCGAACAGCCGATCCAAGAGCAGCGTCGAAAGTGCAACGTCACTGCGCTCGTCCTCTCTTTCTGTGGGCCTGTTTTTCGCCTTTTAATTCGACCCAATGCATAAAGAGTACCGAGACCTTGCGGTCGTCCGTCATTATGCGGCAGAGGGCAATCTTTCGAACAGGGTCAATACGAAGAGAAAGTCGTCTGCTCCTTGCGCAAGAGTTGCGGTGACGTCACAACGACGCCGAGCCCTGATTGGCTCTGATTGAGAGGCTAGTGGGTAGAGCTCGATGCTATAGATGGCTTGAGGTCTATCCACTATCCTTTTCCTTTCAACCAAAGCGTCACAGCTCGGCGTCGTTCTGACGTCAACGCAACTCCTGCGCAGGAAGCAGACGACTTGCTCTCCGCATAGACCTTCCCATGAAACGCCCTCTGCCATCTTTGTTTGCCGGGCCCCTTCTGAGCATGCGCTGTAAGCTCTGTTGGGCGGCATACATCCAACGCTGAGTATGCGTCGACTGCTCAGTGTCTTGGCATTTTTCGCCCGGGTGATAAGCGATGGAAAGATCTAAAGGAGTCGCCGGGGGCGACTACGAAATGAAAGATACGGAGTATGGTTTTTGCTGCTCTAAATACAGGGTGTCACAAAAGAAAATTTACACGGTATTTTTTACCGCAAAAATAAACTAAGCATCGCCGAACGCTCATTCTCCGCCCAAAGATAGCGCTAGAGGTCACAACCAGATGCCAAAGTTTCAGCCCGATCCGATAACTTAATCAAAAGTTATGAGTGATTTTCTGAAAATGTCAATGGGAAAATGGCGGCCGACGGAGTTTTCAATCACATGGGGCTCTATGGCACCAGAAACCGAAAACGGGCAAAAATGGGCTCCATTTTCCCATTGAAATTTTCAGAAAATCACTTATAACTTTTGATTAAGTTATCGGATCGGGCTGAAACTTTGGCATCTGGTTGTGACCTCTAGCTTTACCTTTGGGCGAAGAATGAGCGTTCGCCGATGCCTAGTTTATTTTTGCGGTAAAAAAGACCGTGTAAAGTTTCTTTTGTGACACCCTGTACTTCCCCGATCGTATACACTTACTGAGTTTTGTAGTCTACGGAGCCTCTTGGCCGTTCTTCTGCGTTTCACCAACACCATAAACGACACCAATAACTAATCGTGGGCACACGAACTAACGGCAAAAGAGGCGGACGCCGCATTATTAACATGGCGGAACGCGGCTTACTGGAAGTGAAAAAGCGTCTCGTAAAATCGCCTCATAAAGCCAGTGTTTGCTTCGATAAACTCAGCGCACCCCACTAATGACGTTGCTTTTTTCCCACTTTTTTCTTCTGCCCTCCCAGCGTTGGGAAGAGAGAAAGAGAGAAAAAGAGCTTAAAACGGAGATTGACGCCGTCCTTTGCAAGCAACAAACTCGAAACTGTCCCGCACATTGGCACGACTCATTTTTGGAGGGATAATGACGACAGCAGCGCACAATCACAATCGATCTTGATAACCACACCTTGCGTCTAGCACCTTAATTGGTAAAACTGGTGTTCAATTTTCGGAAGCGCAGGCAGTGGAAGAGGCACTGAGCTCCCAAAAATTATTACCAGGACGGAACAAATATTTTTCAACTCCCTCCCCACCCCCCTCCCCGCGCACCACCTTAGAAGAATAGCGCAACATTCTTGTCCCGAGACTTATTTTGAGGTGCGCTTACGAAACAGTGTTCCGTTTTGGGGCGTAGACCCTAATATAGTTTCGGGATCGTTCAAATGAGTCGGGGCAACTTTGTTTTGAGACACAAATGTCCTATCCAGCTACAAAAAAAAGAAAAAAAAACTTTACGGGAGTCTAGTGTCGTTTTAGATAAACTCCCGATCGTTTTATCGTTTGTAAACGAGCCGCATTTTTGTTTTTAGATTTGTCCACAAGAAACATACCTTTAATCCTGAGCTGGGCCCCGACAAACTTGAGGGCTTCGTGCGAGAGGTTTGCGGGTCTCTTGGAGTACTCGAGGATCACGTCCACGCCGGACAAGTCGAGACCTCGGCGCTCCAGCACTCCTTGCAGGGCGTCCCTGCGTGCCACAAACACGGGGCTCATCAACACCCCAGTCTAAGGGATACAGCTAGAGGTATCGGCCTAAAACAAGTCTTGTCCCTACCAGATAAAAAAAAAAAAAAAAATTACTGCCTCCGTGATTCTGGGTATCCGATTGGTCTCCTAATATGCGTGCGTGAAAACATCTGCACAAAACAAGAGAAATTCAACCGACACGGATGAAAGAGGGCAGACAAGAAATAAACAAACAAACAAAAAAATCACAGAAATACACAAGATTCATGGCATAACCCATAAATTAAAAAAAAAGATAGCCGCGAGGCAGGGCACTAAGGTCGTGTGCCCTTCCCGAAACAAGGCGTATTCTATATGTCACAAAGTAAACTGAAACATCAACAAAAAGAAAACTTGTAACATTTCTCACAAGACACAGTATGCGCCGTGTGACACAGGGGTTGTTTATCACGTTCCCCTATCATGTGGCAAATGTTACCTCAGTGAAACTATCAGATGTGTAAATAACAGGACAAGAGACCTTGCATCATCTCTTAAGGAAACTACAGCCGGTCATTACCAGCTAATAGCCGCATTTGTAGATGCAGTGGAGCGTTCGGCAGCATCAAAAGCCCATATGCAAGCGAGATGCTTGAAATTATGGCCATCGAAGAAAGCGAAGCAACATGGGTCAGCGTGCCTTCCATCAAGCTGAACACAAAAGAAAAACAATATTCGCGGTGTTTTACGTCCTGCTGAAATGCGGGTAATTTCAAACAAAATTATATCTATGGCTCTTGGAACGAAGAATAAAAAGAACAGATAGGTCAAGGTACACAAAGAGCAAAGAAGTATCAACCCACAGTTGGTAATCCAGCGATATCCGTGTCTCCTTTTCTATCTCTGTACCTCAACTTTATTTTTTATTAAATTCAAGTTGAACCTATCCATGTATTACGTGTTCGTTCTTTAAGATTTATCTGCTTCATTTAGAAGGGAACATCTAGGCATACGAACTACTTTTGTTTATTGTAAAATAAACTAATTTCTAAATCTATTTCTTTAATAGGTATAAATCGATGGAGATGCGACGATTTTTGTACTTTGCGCAAATACCGCCTAAAACGAATCCCTGGCGTTAAAAGACCTGTGAGACACCCGTTCGTTTTTCACCACATGCAATCGAAATCGCAGAAAAAAATTAAAGAAATACGAGCGGCGTTCACCCCCTCAACTCGCAGACAGCCAGAACAAGCGGCCACGTGAGCTGAAGTCGATTATAGGCCGCCAATGTTGATCATAGCCACGCGTAGGGTCGGCAAGGCACAGGACATGCGATGAGTTCCAGACATTGTTATGGTTCGGCTATTGCTGTCATTGCAGCGAGTGGACACGGACCACTACCCAAACGCTTCTCGAGCTATCGATTACCACATGCCCAAATCGAGTGCCCACGCAGTGCTCGGGACCAATCTATGAGCCGCATTCAAATATCGTCACTGGGCAGTACTGCGACCGCCCAGCTACGTCATCAAGTTTTGCGAAGGAGAGATTGAATAAAAAAAACTCTCGCTTTGGTCCACAACACAGGAGATTCTTGGCCAGTGGCGTTGCGTGCGAGTATCCTGGAGTCCCTCTAGTGCCAGTAAGCTCGTGTAAAGTGAAAGTATTCCAATTGAATATCGTTGTACCGCCCCTTTAATATCCTCGATCAAATGCTTGCAAGGTTTTGTAATCACATCGAATAATGCATGTTCTGCTTTGCCTGAGAATCTTGGAAAAACAAACCTACTTATTAAGATAAAAAGAAAAATAGAAATTATAATTTTGTTTGCCAGTGACACAAGCTTCTTTTTTATACGGTCTAGAAAAGACAAAAGCGCTCTTCCAAAGGCGAACTGCGGCTGCAGATTTTCAATTGCAAATATAAAGTTAATGAAGGCGCTTCTCTCAAGGCCCGTTCACACTCTTGCGACCGAGTACGACTGAGAGAGACGAAATCTCTTAAAACTTCTTAAATGTTTTTAGAATGAGGGAACACACTGGCATTGTGGCGCCATCTATGCGGTGACCCTGGAAGTGCATTTCACAAGAGCGAAGGTTTTGCGGGATTTCCGAGGTCAAATGTGCGTAATACCCATAGAAAGGCTCGTTTATAACATTTACAAAAGTTTTTCGAGCCAAGAAAGAAAGGATAATGCGCGAGAAATAAAAAAAAAATATGCCGGACCGCCGAGTTTACACTGCTTCCCAATAGATGGCGCCAGTGTGTTCTCTGGTTTAAGAAGTTTTAAGGAACCCAGGTTTAAGAGGTCGCAAGAGTGTGAACGGGACAAGATCCGAGGGTGCAGCGAACTTACGGGTTTCTCGCTTTCCCGCTGTACACGATGTGGTAGGGTGAAGCGCACTTGCAATCTTTCCGCTTTTCTGCCGTGCACAAAATCAAGAGGTGAAGCGCGCTTGCGGGATATTCAGCCTACGTCTTTCTCGTTGTACAAGAAGCGTTCCAAGGGTGAAGCGCGTTCTTGAGGTCTTCGCGTTCCCGCAAGGTACTTTTTTTTTTTCTTAATTGGAAGCAGAATGCAGACAAAAAAATACACTAGAATGCAATATACACACGAGCCGCCCAACCACTAATGGGCACACTAAAAGTCTTTAATATGATTAACTTCTTCAGACAAATGTGCGCAGTCGGGCTCAGTGCCTGACGTAAACGGACTGGAACTGTGTTACTACTTTAGTAAAATGAATACGCGCCGTTTTAATGCTCGGGTCGGCGTGATAACATTCCATCCGTGTTTTTGGAAATGGGCGCAGCTCTTAGGGCGCCCATTTCCGGGTGAAGCGCCGTCGCCGTCGGCGTCGGCGTAACTGCGCGCGTTGTATTATGGGACGTTTCCCCGCTAAATTTAGCGTAAATATTTCCCCGCAAACTTTAGCGGGAAAATTTCACGCTAAATTTAGCAGAATAATTTTCCCAGCTAAATTTAGCGGAAAGAATTTTCCCGCTAAATATAGCAAAACAATTTACCCGCTAAATATAGCAAAAAAATATCCCCGCTGCGAAAAAATGTTTTTCTCTAGATATAGCGGAAAACTTTTTACGATACATTTAGCGGGAAGTTTAGCAAAAATTTTCCGCTAAATGAAGGGGAGGAGGAGAGGAGGACGGGAGGGTACAAAGGCGAGGAGGGGCGTACCCTCCACTCCATACCCTCCCTTCCTCCTCCTCAAGAGCTGCGCTCTAGTTTCGCATTACAAAAAATTAGAAACGTCTTTAATTTTTTTTTATATTTTTAGCTAAATAATTCAAGCACCATAAATAGGTCGTAGGGGACCGTGTTACACTCCTCGACTGGAAAAAGACGAATAGGGAGTATTCACTGGCGGCCATAGCTGTGTGTGCGACTGCTGAACTGTGGTGCTATTCGGGTCACAAACGGTCACGTTCGTGTTTCTCGAAAACTCCTCCCCCCTACGAACCGCGCGCTCCTATTGGCCATAGCCCGCGTGATAATTCCACGCGTTTCCCAAGGGAACGTTCGCGAAACACGAAAGCAACCGTTTGCCGTAACTACCGTTCTGAGCATGCACTTTAAACATTGCCCTCAAATATGGCGTGCAGTTAATACAACCCCCTATAGTTTCGTGGGTTATAAATATATATTTTTCAACGCCTTTTGTAGAATAGATCGTTTTGTAGAATACCCATTTTATAATTTCTGCCACGAGGAGATTTTCAAGACAAACTACTCACCGCGCACTGTTGCAAATTGGAACAAAGTTCCCGAAGAGCTCATAAACATTGATTCCCTCGATAAGTTTACTTCATGTGTAGAGATATTTTTCACCGAGGACATGTGTCAGAGGAAATTACATCCGCACCGCTCACGTTTTACGAACTTCGCGGATTAACCCAAACATTGTTTTAATGTTGACGTGTGCATTGTTGCCTTGAAAGACAACAAACAACAACATTGTTGTTTTACAAGAAAATATCAAATTTTTTTCTTTTCACATTGTTTGTTGAGTGTCAGTTTGATTTACCGGTATTCTTTGCGGTAGTTCTCTTATTATTATTGCCTTGATTGACATATTTTGTTATGCCACACTGCGTGGCTGTAGTTGCCCCGGCCACTTTACAAGCGGCCGGAAAATTCAGCAATAAATAAATCAATACAAAATAAGACCGGGCGCCACCAATACACGAAAACGCGCTCAATTGTTTCTGGTGTTTTTACAAGAGAAAAAAAAAATCAACATACCAAAAAAGAAATATTCCTTCCCTCAACCATGGTTTGACAGGCAACCAGCTATGTAGCATAAATTAAAAAAAAAGTACTTGACCACAAGCGGGATAGAAATTTGTTTTGTCGCCACACAACCCATCTTGACCAGTACAGAGGCTATAAACCAAGCAAAGGTGCGGAAAGAACAATTTGTACAAAATCCAGGGTCAGATTTGTGTTTTTCTTGTACCAAGGTATTGGAGCAAAGTGGCGATGTAGGAATCGGTTCATGATAGAGTTGGGACATAGGTATTGCCGAGAAAATCACGCTTGTGAAAATACTGCAGCCCCTTTCACTCCCTTCGAAAACCCAAACATAGTGAGGGGTTCATCACAATTACTTGCTACTGACACAGCGTGTACAGAGCATTCGCCAGTTTGATTTAGTTAACGGTGCCCCCCCCCCCCCCCCCTCAAAAAAAAAAAAAAAAAAAGAGAAAGGTTTAGTGACATTTTTAGGCGGTCTAGTTGGTTCATGTCTAGAAAATAAATAAACTGCGCAAAGGACGAGGACATAGACGGAAACAAGGAAAACGAGGTACGGTGTCTCGCTCGACTTTTCGGCGCCTTGTAAACTCGGTAAAGAGTGCCCTATAGTGAAGCCAAAAGCGAGCACACAGGAATGCAAAAAGAAGCACAGCAAGCGCTACACGGAAGGCGCTTCAGGTGTTATTTATGAAATACCGCTTTCTCGCGGGCGCGTGTATACATTGGCGAGACCGGGAGACGTTTC